AGGCTGCCCCACCCCCTCCCCGCCGTTATCCCGAACTGCTCTGCATCCTTGCTACATAAATACACGGATTCCGCTGCTGTGTTTTGTTTTTTCCCCGGGTGTTTTCCACGGTTTGTTGCTGTTATTTCTGTGTTTTTCGCTGTTTTCCCGGGCGGCATTAGGTGTCGGAGGCGGTGGCCACGGCTTTGGGCAGGTGCCAGATGCCGTTGGCGCGGGGCTCCTGGGCCATTTCCTGCCGGGAATCTCCGTTCCAGCGCCGCTTCAGCCGCAGCTTGGGCGGCATCAGCGCGTCCTCCCTCCTGTCGTGGCTGCCGCCGTCCCCGCTCGCATCCCGCGCCGATTTCTCCGCGTTTTCCTCTCCCGCTGTCGCTCCCGCCGCCGCCGCCGGGATCCACGCCGGAGCCGCGGGCCGGGCGAAAACCGGGATTTTCTCCTCCTCTTCCTCTGCCTTCCCCGATTCCTCCTCCTCGTCCTCGTCCTCCTTGTCCGCCGCCGGCTCCACCTTGACCCTGGCGGCGTTGGGAATTTGGGGGTTGGCCGCGCCCTCGCCGGGGCTCTCCAGCCTCTCCCGGTTCTTCCGCCCGGCCGGCGGCGGCTGCAGCTTGATGGGGAACGGCGGCTGCTCCTCCACGGGCACCGGGCACTGCAGCGGGGGCACCACGAGCGGGTAGCGAGGGAAAGTCCGAGGGCTCAGGTGATAATTGAACACGGAGCACGCCTGCGAGTGCAGGTAATGCTTCATTTCCTCGGGGTTGAAGGAGAAGCAGCTGCTGCCGGCGAAGGGGCTCAGGCCCGGCGAGGGGCTGTAGGAGAAAAGCGTCGGCGTCAGCGACAGGGCCGGCGAGATGGGGACATTGAGCACGCCGGGGCGGCCCGGCAAGGGCGACACGGCGAACGGGCTGTGCGGGTGATCCGGGAACATCCCCGGCCTGGAGAAGAGCGGCAGAACCACGTCGGGTTTGCGCTTGGGCCCGGCCGCGGCGGCCGCGCTGGCCGAGGCGTGCGATGGAGGCAGCAGCTCCCGGCGCCATTCCGACGCGTTCTCCTCCACATCGGCAGAGCCCGGCTGCCTGTCGGGGCCCGCCGAGCCGCCGCACTCGCCCAGAGGCTCGGCGTGAGGCTGCAGGAGCGAGCCCGCGGGGAAACGCGGCTGGGAATCCTCGGTGGGAGAGTGAGGATCCAGGGCCGGGAAATGGAAACGCGACGAGGCCGTGGGCACGGGCGGGGCGCTCTGAGGGACCACGCCTGCCATGGGACAAAGCGGGAAAAAAAAAAAAAATAAATAAATTAGTTACGGGGTGACGGTGGGGGGCTGGAATTGCTTGGATGGCAGTGGGAGTGTCTGAAATGTTCGTGGAGAAACCTCAAATGTCCATGGAAATGTCTCAAAAGTTCATGGAAAAACCTCAAAGATCCATGGAAACGTCCGAAATGTTAATGGGAATAACGTAAACGTTCATGGGAATCTGTCAAATATCCATGGAAATGTCTCAAATATCCATGGGAATAACTTAAATGTTCATGGGAATCTGTCAAATATCCATGGAACAGTCTGAAATATCCATGGGAATAACTTAAATGTTCATGGAAAAACCTCAAATGTCCACGGAAATGTCTGAAATGTTCACGGGAATAACTTAAATGCTCACAGGAATATCTCAAAAGTTCATGGAATTGTCTCAAATATCCATGGAAATGTCTCAAATGTTCATGGAAAAACCTCAAATATCCATGGAAATGTCTCAGAAGTTCGTGAAAATATCTTAAATATCCATGGAAATGTCTCATCTGAGGGGGAATATCATCAATCCATGGAAATCTCTCAAATATTCATGGAAATGTCTCAAAAGTTCATGGAAAAACCTCAAATATCCATGGAAATATCTTAAATATCCATGGAAATGTCTCCTCTGAGGGGGAATTCATCAATCCATGCAAATATCTCAAGTGTTCATGGAAACATCTGAAATATCCATGGAAAAACCTTAAATATCCATGGAAATGTCTCATCTGAGGGGGATCTCATCAAGCCATGGAAATGTCTGAAATATTCATGGAAAAACCTCAAATATCCATGGAAATGTCTCCACTATCCACCCAAATCCCTCCCAATACCCAAATCTCCCAAATTTCCACCAAAAAACTCCGTGAGGGGGAAGAGAAATCAGTGGAAAAAAACCCTTAATTCCAGGTTTGACATCCCAACCCCTCAACTCAGCAGGAATTTAAAAAAAAAGCTGGGATTAACCAAGAGCATTCCAAATTTTTTTTTTTAAATTTATTATTTTTTTTATCCAAGCGCCCCGGGGACAGGAGGGAGCAGGGAAAGGGAGTTGGGAACTGCCCAAACTCGTTTGCTCCGACTTAATTAAGGAATTACAGCTCCAGACACAGCTTCCCACCCCCGTTTTTGGCTTGGAAAAGACATTCCCTTCTCTTAAAAAAACCAAAAAAACAAAAATAATCCAGCAAGGCCCACACAGGTGAAGGAGACACCAACACCTGGAGGAATTTTTCCCTCGTTCTTTTTTTTTTTTTTTTTTTGGCCTTCCAGGAGCCTTGGAAAAAACAAAACCTTGGTGATTCCCTCAGGGAGGGGAGGCGGCCCCCGGATGGAGGTTCCAAGGAAAAAAAATTCATTTTTTCCCCACACAAAAACTGGTTTTTTTCTGCTTCCATCTCTATTTTCCCTGCTGGGTTGGTGCTCCAGGTTTTCCTCTGGAAACCAGAGGGGGATGCTCCAAATTGGGATTTTTTTTGGAATTTTTGGGAATAACGACTTTTTTATTTTTTTTATTTTCATGGATTAAGTAATCATTCATTTCCCTAATTTTCCAGGCTTTTTTCCCCTACTTTGGCCGTCCAGGCTTTCCCCTGCAGCAGCTCATGCTAGGCCCAGCTCCTCTAAACTGAGATTTTTTGTGGAGAAAAGTTTGGAATTTTTGGGAATAAAAACTTCCAGAGGGGATTTTAATTTTTATGGATTAAATAATCACTAATTTCCCTACTTTTCCTGGGTATTTTCCTGTTTTTTCCCCCCACTTTTTATTCTCCTGGTTTGGCCTTCCAGGCTTTCCCCTGCAGCAGCTCATGCTAGGCCCAGCTCCTCTAAACTGAGATTTTTTGTGGAGAAAAGTTTGGAATTTTTGGGAATAAAAACTTCCAGAGGGGATTTTAATTTTTATGGATTAAATAATCACTGATTTCCCTACTTTTCCTGGGTATTTTCCTGTTTTTTTCCCCCACTTTTTATTCTCCTGGTTTGGGCTTCCAGGCTTTCCCCTGCAGCAGCTCATGCTAGGCCGGGGTCCTCTAAACTGAGATTTTTTGTGGAGAAAAGTTTGGAATTTTTGGGAATAATGACTCCCAGAAGGTTTTATTTATCTTTATGGATTCAATAACCACCAATTTCCCTATTTTCTTGCTTTTTTCCCCCACTTTTCTCCTGCTTTTTACCCTCCTGGTTTGGCCTTCCAGGCTTTCCCTGGCTCAGCTCATGCTAGGCCGGGCTCCTCTAAACTCAAAATTTTTGTGGAGAAAAGTTTGGAATTTTTGGGAATAACAACTTCCAGAAAGGTTTTTTATCTTTAGAGATTCCATAATCACCAATTTCACCACTTTTCCTTCTTTTTCTCCACTTTTTTCCTGCTTTTTACCCTCCTGGTTTGGCCTTCCAGGCTTTCCCTGGCTCAGCTCGTGCTAGGCCGGGCTCTTCCAAATTGAGATTTTTTTGTGGAGAAAAGTTTGGAATTTTTGGGAATAATGACTCCCAGAAGGGTTTTTTTATCTGTATAGATTTAAAAATCACCCATTTCCCCACTTCTCCTGATTTTTCTCTGTTTTTTTCCCTGCTGGATTCATTGTCCCTGGCTCAGCTCGTGCTAGGCCGAGCTCCTGTAAATTGAGATTTTTTTGTGGAGAAAAGTTTGGAATTTTTGGGAATATCAACTTCCAGAGTTGTTTTCTATTTTTATTGATTAATTTCCCCACCTTGCCTGGATCGGGACAATCCCCTAGCTGTAAAAATTTGGCTCTTTGGGGGTTTAATTCCAAAAAAAATCCACTTTGGGAAAAAAAACCCTTTTCCCAAGAAACTCCTGCTGACTCTGGGATAAACGCAGCAAAACCTTTTTGGGGCAAAAAAGGGACATTTATGCTGCATTTCCAAACTTTTCCTCATTATCCTGACTGTCTCCTCCAGGGAAAAATTCATTATTTTTAGCCAAAATCCAAGGAATTCCTATTTTCCTCCAGGAATGCTGCAATCCCTTATGGAATCCCTCACACCTCCAGGGCAGAAAGGGGTTTAAAAAAAAAACAAAAACAATTTTTGGTTGAAAATGAGCACGAAAAGGGAGGAAAAAAGGAGAAAAATCCATGGATTTTTTTTTTTTTTTTAAAGTTCCATAAACTCACCTGAGCCACTCCAGGATTGCATCCCAAGGTTGATCCTCTAATCCCATAATCCCAAAAAATCCCCGGGGAAAAATAAATAAATCCCGATCCCACAACCCCCACAGCAGCTGGGATTTGCTCCCAGATTTTATTTTATTTTTTTTTTCCTCCCCAGCCTGGTTGTGGAGGAAAATTCAATTTTTAAAATTTTTTTTCCTCATATTCCCACCCCAAAATTCCCAAATTTTCCCAGGGCTCACCGTTGGGCCGGATGTTGATGAAGGGATAATTAGGCATCACTAATTTGTTGAAATTGAATTTGTAGGTGAATCTTTTGCCCTTGGTCTTGTGCAGGATCCTCTTGTTGTAGTAATATCTGGGAATAAATTAAAAATTAATTTAAAAAAAAAATTTAAAAAAGGGGGGAAAATGGATCAAAGCACTCAACAATCCAGAATTCCTTCCTAATTTCCTGTTTAAAGCAGAATGTGGAATTCTGGGATGGGAAAAGCTCAAAGATCCTAAAAAATCCAGAATTCTATCACTGAAATTCCCCAAAATTCCAGCTAGGAAAACAAAACAAAAAAAAAAAAACAGGGAGAAAAAAAAAATAACAGGGAAAAATCCCCCAAAATAGGGAAAAAATTCCCCCCCAAAAATAGGGAATAAATCCCCCAAAAAATAGGGGAAAAAAACCCCAAAACAGAAAAAAAAACTGAAAAAAACAGGGAAAAAAACCTCCAAAAATAGGAAAAAAGTCCAAAAAAACGGTAAAAAACCCTCTAGAAATAGGGAAAAAACCTGCGAAAAATAGGGAAAAAACCTGGGAAAAAATCGGAAAAAAACCCCCCAAAAATGGGAAAAAAAACCCCAAAAATGGGAAAAAAACCTCCAAAAAATTGGGGAAAAAAACCCCCAAAAAATCGGAAAAAAGCCCAAAAAAACATTAAAAAACCCCCAAAAAATCAAGAAAAAAACCCCCAAAAATCAGGAAAAAAACCCCAAAAAATCAGGAAAAAAACCCCCCAAAAATCAGGAAAAAACCCCCAAAAATCAGAAAAAATCCCCAAAAATCAGATAAAAAACCCCAAAAATCAGGGAAAAAAACCCCAAAAAATCAGAATAAAACCCCCAAAAAATCTGAAAAAAACCCCAAAAATCAGAAAAAAACCCCCAAAAATCAGGAAAAAAACCTCAAAAAATCAGGAAAAAACCCCACAAAAGTCGAAAAAAAAACCCCCCAAAAATCAGAAAAAACCCCAAAAAATCAGGAAAAACCCCCCCAAAAATCCGAATCCCCCCCCGGCCCGCGCACGCACCGCAGGGCGCGGCTGAGCTTGTCGTAGTTCATCTGGGGCTTGCACTTGCGGCGCCCCCACAGCCGCGCCACCTCGTCGGGGTCCTTGATGACGAACTCGCCGTACTCGCCCTGCTGCCACGCGATGACGTGGCGGAACTCCTCCTTCTGCAGCAGCTCCAGGATGAAATGCCACAGCTGGATCTGCCGAGAGCCCGGGCTCGACTCCGTCTTGTAGGCCCACTCGGGAAAGTGGTAGCCTGGGGGGGAGAACGGGGCAGAAAGGGTTAAATCTCGGGGGAAAAATGGGGGAGAAAGGGTTAATTTGGGGGGAAAATGGGGAAAAAATGGGAGAGAAAGGGTTAATTCTGGGGGAAAGTGGGAGAGAAAGGGTTAATTTTGGGGGGAAATGGGGAAAATGGGAGAAAAGGATTTAATTTTGGGGGAAATGGGAGAGAAAGGGTTAATTTTGCGGGAAAAATGGGGAAAAGTTAATTTTGGGGGGAAAAAAGTTAATTTTGGGGGAAAAACGGGAGAAAAAAAGGTTAATTTTGAGGGGAAAAACGGGAGAAAAAAAGGTTAATTTTGAGGGGAAAAACGGGAGAAAAACGGGAGAAAAACGGGAGAAAAACGGGAGAAAAACGGGAGAAAAACGGGAGAAAAACGGGAGAAAAACGGGAGAAAAACGGTTAATTTTTGGGGAAAAAAGGTTAATATTGGGGATAACATGGGATAAAAATATTAATTTTGGGGAAAAATCGGGATAAAAATGTTAATTTTGGGGAAAAATGGGGGAAAAAAATGGGAGAAAATGTTAATATTGGGGAAAAATCGGGATAAAAAGTGTGAATTTCAGGGGAAAAATCGTTATTTTGAGAGGTGTTTCTTTGGGCAGGAAGTGGAATTCTGTTCACTATTCCATGTGGGAACAGGGAAATTCAGATTTCTCATCCAATTCTTCATTTCTGATTCTTTCCAGCCTCATTTTCCTTGGAAAATCCAACCAAAGATACCAAAAATCCACTAAAAACCAGAAAAAAAACCCAGTAAAATGCAACCAAAACTTGGTAAAAGTTGGGTGGAATTCACTATTCCATGTGGGAACAGGGAAATTCACATTTCCCATCCAATTCTTCATTTCTGATTCTTTCCAGACTCATTTTCCTTGGAAAATCCATCCAAAGAACACCAAAAACCCACTAAAAACTCACTAAACCCCCCCCCAAAAAAACCCAAATATCCCCAAAATATCCCCAAAAAATTCCCCAAAAATTCCCAAAAAAATCCCCCCCCAAAAAATTCCCAAAAAATCCCAGGCTGGAATGGAGCCCCCATTCAAAATTCCAGTGATGGAATTCAGGCAAAAAAAAAAAATTAAAAATCCCAATTTGGGGTGGTTTTTTTTAGGGAAAATTTATATTTTTTTTTTCCTAGGGCCACCCACATTCCTGCCAGCACACAAAATCCAGGAGGGAATAATCCCAAATCCACCCCAAATCCAAAAAAAAAAAAAAAAAAAATTAAAAAAGGGAAGAATAATTTGAATTTTAAACCCACCACCTCCACTTTTTTTTTTTTTTTTTCCCCCCTACAGGGAGTGGAAATTTTGGGAGAGGCGTGATGAATATTCCCAGAAAATATTTTTATCCTGGAAAAAAAAAAAAAAAAAAAAAAGGCAAAAATTAAAATAAAATAAAATTCCAAAAAAGCCTCTGGAATTCCTTACCCCCTCCTCCTTCGGGCTTGTCCACGATGCTGCAGCCAGCTTTCATTTCTGCCTCCTGGGGGATTGAGAGGGGGAAAAAATCAGTTTATTTGGGGGAAAAAATGGGGAAAAAATAGGGGAAAATATAGGGGGGGAAAGGGGGAAATA